CACACAATTCACATCTAATTTTATGTAATCCAGTGCCGCCATGGCAAAAATCTGCCTCAAAAATTGTTCATTTTTTAGCCTACACTCCTTAATCAAAATCAACGTCATCCGTTGGGAATGTACCTGCAGGGAAAAATTTTTTTTCAGAAACAAAATAAGGATAACAAAAGACAAAGCTCTCCTAAACTTCCTACATGAGTAACGTTATTTGTAGTTACAGACCATGGACATCTAACTCAATCTGGCCATTCATCTGATTGTTTTTAGTTCACTTTTCTCTTCGGCGTTCTTGTTTCTCCGATTTCGTTTACACCTCGTTAGACATTAGACATTAGCTGAATGTTCGAAACACATAGAGCTTCGCTTTGAAGATGATGCTTTTTCGCAAGAGGGAAGACTTTTTTCTCCCTTTAACGACCAATTTCAATTCAGACATTCATGAATAGGGCGGCATTTGAAACAGTCGGCTACATTTCCATCATTTCATTCTATTATTGCGGTATTCCTTAGATAGATCCGTTCTTTCATTTTTATCGCGATAGGCGGAGTGGCAGTAGTGGCTAACAATTACATTCTCAGATCTGACCTTTAGTAGAAGTAGGTGACTCTGTTTATCCTTGTTCTCCTTTGAATTTTTATAAACACGATGAAGTTACAACTTGTAGCCTTTATTAGCTCTACTTTACCTTAGGCGCAGCCTTCTTATACTAGCCATTATAGAATAAATCTATGGCGAAATATGTATTATCGTACACAGATTATTGCACAATAACAATTCTGATAAAGGCAGACACAATATGCCTGTTATCACCTGCGCTCATGGGATTTGATATGTGCTGTGCAATTGCACAATGTAACATGCGTTTTCAATTCTCTGCTATTTTTGGAAAGTGTTGTCGTTCTGATTTCTCATAAACAAAGGCTTTCCATAAAAACCCAGCTGAAAATATTTGCATCTCCTTTTGTTCAGCGATGAGCCACTAGTTGGCTATTGTTCACTCAAAGTGATCTCTGACATCTTCAAACATCGTAAACTCACGCATTCCAGAGGATCACGTGCGTAGCCTTTGGAACACTGTCTGGAACTCGTGTTCGCTATCTGGTGGCAATCCTATTTTCAATCAACTGAATAAGATGTCATCAAACCAAAATACACCTAAATGTACATCAGAGTCTAAACAGTAAGTGTGCGCCTAGGCAAAAAAAAATTTTTAGCAAATTCATATTTCAATCTTTTTCGTTTCAGAAGTCCACCACGTAAAAGAGAAGTTTGTAAGAAGGTATCCTGGTCACGTTATGATTCGGTAAATATTTCTGGACATCTGCTT